TGTTGAGTAAGGCTAATCAGGGTGTGTCTGTTCATTAACAGTACACATGTTAATTGGGTGCACACACACATGATAGAGGACAAACTAATCATGAATTTAAACCCACCACTTCAAGTCTAATCGAAAGGGGTTGGACATCTCGCAACAGTATTGGGATAGAGGTATAACCATTGATTTGGTCATATTTGGTCGTCCGAAAGCATTCTGAGAGAAATTTATTGGATATGAGATGTAGGATTTACAGTGAGAGTTCGTTGTCAAAAAGTGTCAACACGAATGAGTCCAATCATATTTATGATTTCCCACACAGTCCAATGATGCAAAAAGATGGTTTCAGTTGAGCATTGATTTCAATTTGGTCAGTTGGTTCCAACGATGCATCATAAATGGCCATAGATGAATGGGACTAGATTTTATGAAAGTTCAAATTTAGAACCACAAATATGAAGAGTATATTTGGCGTTTGTAAAACGTCAATGATTTAGATGTTCAATGGGTCTCACGCGTTGTTCAGAACAAAATGTGAAGTACTGACACGATGATCACCGTCTATTTCGTCCTCGAGATCAAAGTTGTGGGATTAGTAAATTTTTCTCCCGAGGAAATGCACACTACCTAGTTACTTGTGTGTAGGGTTAAATATTCATCCACCTCAACCGTGGACAACCAGTCTCCAATCTTAGGCCATAGCGTCAGAGTTTTCAAGATTTACTTACTACTGCTAGTTGTTGTGAGCCGTGGAATCAAGTTGTTTTCACTGAACTATTCCTCACGTGGCGGCATTCATCCGCGCAGCTTCAGTTGTTTATTTTGCAGCAGGCAAGCTCTATCTGGTTCTGTTTTACATGTTCACCTCGAGTCTGATCCTAAAACTTAACAAATTTCAACGTTTGGATCCTCTATCCTCTCCGTATTTGAAAACACCTCTCGAATATGGATGAAATAATCATTATTCGCAGTTCAAGGTCATCCAGATATTTTTTGCGGTTTCATTATAGCTTTATTTATGTAACTGATGCACTCAGTCACTTTTCTCCAAATTGTTATCTATGTATTTTCTCAAGGTTCTGACTTTTAATTTGCGTTCACCACCATATATAACTAGGGCAAAATACGAACGAACTTTGAATCCGAGTTATTTAGAATTGGTTTAGGTTAAGGAATAGTGTGAAAAGTGTAAGGTGAATGTTGGTCAACTTATTACTCCTTAAACCCCAAACCCTCAGGCACTGACAAGAAGAGTGTGCATGCAATTGCATGGATATTTTGGTTAGATGCCATGTTATTCAGGGACAAGTCCTCGGGAAACTTTGCGTAAATGAAAGTAAGCCTTTCTTAATGAGGTTCTTGGTGTAGTACAGATTGATTGTCAAAACACCAAAATTTTTGGTTTGTGATGCAGAGAAAATTTAGCTTTTGCAAACCATAACCGTTTACCTACAATGCTTTACAGTTCTCTTCCTTCGACCCTTTGATCCAAAACGTACCTTTACAAGGACCCTAAAGGTACATATAAGCGGGTCATTATCCCCAGTGAGTAAAGTTTTCAGTGGAGCATTACAGAGCATAATATTAAGGCTAACACTTTCTGTTGAATTCAACTCATGGACCTTTCAACTCCGACTTCAAACCGCTCTTACCGAAAGAAGTTGATAAATTCGTGCCCGCTAAATCAATCGGGAAGTTTTCCCGGGTATCTTCATCATCTGGTGGACGTGGTTTTTGTACTTGAGTCTCGGTGAGACCAAATACTACATCACAGGCAGCCGGTTCGAGTGACAGAGGCGACAGATTTTGTTGAGTTCACAGCATATCTGCGATTGGAATTCGGACACAATCGATTGCTAAGCCGATGTGCTAATCATCCGGGAGAGCCCTCAACAGTTTGCTTTGAATCTACGCTAATACTCCATTTTACACAATACTGTTTTCACTTTTGTCATTGAATAAAATTGGGTGAATCATTCATTGGGAGGCAGTCAATCAGTCATTGTCAGGAGACAAAGCGGTGGATGGCTTTTAGCTCCCGATTTTCGGGTGAATTAAACCGCTTGACTACCATCACGCCGCAACATAATATGGTACTTGAAATTTTCTGGGGTCTCACAAGACATGATTCCTTCTCAGAGATTGTATTTTTCGTCTCATCTGATCCAAATTTTCGATTTGGGTTAGTTCTTACAAGTAAGATGACAAATTTCTTTCAATAACATGAGCTACACTGCAGGGTATAATTTTCCTCTCGGTTAAAGTCGACGTTATCTGAAAATTTCCAGCTTCGAGTAAAATGTGTTCGAGGACTGTAAGATGTGATAAACTGAACATACCGCACAGCAAAGGTCCATGATAATAAGTCGACGGGTATTGACTCCCAAGCTTTGGCCCAGTAAACATACAGGTAGACCCACCTTTTGGAACAAATAGGAGTAGCCACAACAAACGACTGTTTATCCCACGGTGTATTACAATTCTCTTGTGGACTGACTTTCACAGTAAACGTTCAAACCAATTACTAAAAAAAACGTTTTGATCTTCTTCCGTTTAGGGTAACTAAAACATTCACTGAAGAGACTCACTTAGGTCCGAAAAAATAACAACAATACGTTCATTGATAAGGTCCCCCTGTTTTTTGGGGGCACAAAGTAAACGTTCCTGATCGGAAGACTACTACAGGTTTCTTTACCAAACTATTTTATTTTTCAACTTGCTTTTCCACACCGAAAAGCCTTTAGCCTACAGATTTTCTTCATAATGAATGAAGTCCGCTATGGAATTTCTTCGTATCCGAGATCATGTTTTTGAATGGATAGGCAATGAAAGTTCCAGTGAATGTTTTTTAAAAATTCCGTTGCTGACTGATTGATGGTCCCGCCGCTTCCAGTTTACTTCTTGATTGGGACACGGTTCATTACAAGATCAGTGTCTATTAATGAAAGAACGACCAAGATATAATAACATATGGAAATCATACATAGGGTGATGATGTAAAAATTATGGGGAAATAAGTACCCATGTAATGAGGCCATATTGAGAAATTTACCGGTTCAATGAATGGAAACGTTACATGTAAACAACGGAGGGTTTGATCTGATTTCTTCATGTTCAAAGGAAATGAGGAGTAAAATGAAAAGCCAGGAACCTCTGGACAGCTGTTCCCATCTGGGGTGACATCTCATCAGCAATGGGAATCCATAAAACTACAAACAAACTTGACTCCTCAACTATGCGCCTAATGCAATGATACTCGACCCTCAGACACTCTGCAAAACAGTGTAAAAATAATATCTATCTATCTATCTATCTATCTATCTATCTCTCTATTTATCTATTTATCTATCAATCAATCAATCTATCTATCTATCTATCTATCTCTATTCAAGCTGCCAGCCTCTGGTTCATGTCCATCAGGATAGAGTTTGTAAAGTTATTGTATCACGGTATTAGAAGAATAAACTTGCAGTACTTCTGAATCCATTCATCAAATTAATACTGAAAAGTGTCTTGTAGCAGTTTGAAGCAGTCTTTCATTCGAATTCTCAATTCAAACACCAAAAGCCCTTAGAAGAAAACCTGGAAGGGAACGACCAAAATTCGGTCAATTAAAAAACAAAACAATGCGATGCCGTTTATTTCAAGTGTTGTGTCACTGGCATTTGTTTGTTGTTCAGCGTGGTAAATTCAAACATATGCGGGGACAACTTTAGACATTCTGAAGCACTTGAACAATTACCTACTGGAACAAACCCTAATTCAAATTCACCTTTTGAGGCATTCCCATGTGATCTTGCCTTTGTTGACGGCTTCATAGGAGTAGGTTTCTGTCCGTCTGTCTGTCTATCCGTATAACAAGTTTTGTTTGTCGGTTAATGGATTGATCTAAAATGAACATGAAATTACACAAAGCGCTTTAAAGTTTGTTCAGCGTACGCTTATCTGAGACAAAGAAGTTCTTTTTGTTCCCAAAGGGCACAGTCATGAATACACCGTTGGTATGCTTTCGACCACCTTTTTGTTTCGCTGAGTACATGTAGAAGAGGGTTGATTGAATAGTGGCTGTAAATGACAAACTATATTTCTTTATGAAGATATTTAAAACTCTAACACCAGAAACCAACCGTTGCGAACGCACAGACCACGGTATTTTGCATACTGAATCTCCCCTTATATATATTTTTTTTCAAGAGAGAATGGAGGCGTACACTGAGTTGTAAAATGTTTATTGTAACGTTTCAATCTAAACTAGGACTCGTTGTCAAACGTAAATGAAATGTATAAAA